AAAGTCTGGGTCTTCGGACCTTCTTCCCCTGGGACCTATGAGTCCAGGCCCACAGCCCCCTTCCCTCTCCCCTCTAGGACCCACAAATCACGCCCCCCACCTTGATCCCCCCAGGACCGTCCATCTCCTCCTGGAGGCTGCAGAGAGCCCAGGACGCGGCAGTGCTGACTTGGGATGTGGAGCGCGGGGCCCTGATCAGCGGTTTTGAGATCCAGGCCCGGCCGGAGGGGCCTGACCGGGGCAGAGACATCAGCTACCAGGACTGGGTCTCCTTGCTCATCCTGGGGCCCCAGGAGCGATCGGCCGTGGTGCCCCTCCCTCCTCAGAACCCGGGGGCCTGGGTCTTGCGTATCCTGCCCACCCTGGGGGCCCGGCCAGGCACCCCATCCCAAAGCCGGGTCTACAGTGCCGGTGAGTTGGGACTATCCGAGCCTTCTCCTGGGCTGCCTCCCCCTGTCTATTTCCTCGGATTCTCCTTCTCCCTGTAACCGTTTCCTGGGGCTGCGATAACAAAGGACCATTAACTAAGTGGCTTGAAACAGCAGACACGGATCTTCACACAGCTCTGGAGGCCACGAAAAATAAAGGGGTCCGCTGGGCCCTGCTCCTTCAGGGTCCCTGGGTAGAAAGCCCTGCTTGCCCCTTCCAGCTTCTGACAGTGCCTGGCAATTAAAAAAAAACACGTTTGTATTGATTTTTAGTGAGAAAGGAAGGGAGAGGGATAGAGAGTTCGAAACATCAAGGAGCCGATGGAGGAATATCATCGATCGGCTGCCTCCTGCAGACCCCCTACTGGGGATCGAGCCCGCCACCTGGGCACGTGCCCTGACCGGGAATCGAACCAGTGACCTCCTGGTTCTGGTTTGATGCTTAACAGCTGAGCCACACCCGGCTGGGCATATAATTATGTTATTTATTTGCACATTCACTTCTGATTTTCCTCCTAAAATGAACCCCCATGAGAGTCGGTATCTCGGGTTTGCTGAGCAATAGGTCTTTGGTCACGTGGTAGGATGCTGGGCACACACAGTCCCTGAATGAGCCTTAAATGAACTGAGTGCTGGGTGCCAGAACCCTGGGTTCTGAGAGCTGGGGCCGGGGACTTTGGAAACAGTTCCAGCCCTGCCTCTCACTTTCCTTGTCCTCCTCCAGACCCCACCCTGGGCCCCGGGGCCATCGCTGGCATCGTCCTGGGCTCCCTCCTGGGCCTGGCGCTCCTGGCAGCCCTTCTCCTCCTGTGCATCTGCTGCCTGCGCAGGTTTCGGGGTGAGTGAGGGGGCCCCCACGGGGAAGGGTCCCTAGGTAAAACCCGATTGGAGGCCTGCCTGGACCAATCAGCACGGTTACAGGTCCCTATCAGCCAATCAGACCAAGGCTCCACCTCTCGGGGTGAGTGGGCGGGGGGCAAGGGAAGGGTCCCTAGGTAAAATCCGATTGGAGGCCTGCCTGGACCAATCAGTACGGTTACAGGTCCCTATCAACCAATCAGACCAAGGCTCCACCTCTCGGGGTGAGTGGGCGGGGGGCAAGGGAAGGGTCCCTAGGTAAAATCCGATTGGAGGCCTGCCTGGACCAATCAGCACGGTTACAGGTCCCTATCAGCCAATCAGACCAAGGCCCCACCTCTCAGCCCCCAGATTCCCTTTCCATTGGCTGGGTCGGGATGTTGGGGCAGCCAATCAGGTGATTATGTTTTTTGTTGTTTTTTTTCTTCCTCTCTCTTTTCCAGGAACGATTCCCAAGAAAAAGAAGCATCTCCCCACCTTTGCCCCTGTGATCCCCCCACCAGAAAAGAAGATGCAGAGCATGGCCCCGGTGCAGACTCCACAGCCTCTGCCCCCCAAAGTCCCGCTGGAGGCCCCGAGCCCAACCAGGGCCCACCAAGTGAGTGTGGAGTTTCTTTGTTATTTAGTCAGGGAGATGGAATGGTCTGAGTTCTCTTCCCGCATCTTTCCTCGTTTGCAGTTTCACAATCCTGGTAAAAATGTGATCCTTTTGAAAATATATAAAGGCTCGACTGGGCTTCCCATCCAACCTTTATGTCAAGCGTGTCAAACTCAGAGGCTAACAGGGGCCAAATAAACAAGGTGTAAGTGTCTGTGGGGCCGCAAAAAAAACCCAAAAGCTTCAATTTTCATAGGCACGTGGGTTTATTTCAATAGAGACGTGCTGAATGCAAAGGGCTGAGATAAATGAGTCATCGTTCACCTAAAAGAATAGAACATTTTAATAAAAATTAATATTTTTTTCTTGAACATTAGCTTACCAGACACTGAATCACTGCACAGATTAATAAGCGTCACTCAAATAAACCTATTTTTCTTGTTCTCTGAAAGCGAAATATTTCCTGTTGTGCACACCCAACAAGTCAGTCCAAGGCTAACGAAGTGGCCATCGGCTGCTAGAATATTCGCTGCTGGTATCAGTGGAGAGAAATGGTGCGCCTGCGTGTAAGGCGCGTAAGGGAAATGAATGCAACGCGATTATAGCCATCAGTCATTAGCTGCAACACGATTATAGCCATCAGTCATTAGCGAATGTTGTCGTTTGTTAATAATTATGTATAACAGGATATTGTAAACATTAAGTTACGAAATTTTTATTAAAACGTTTCTTACATACGGTTACATTGGCTGGGCCGCAAAAATATTCATTATGCACTGTGAGTTTGACATGCTTGCTTCATGTATTTTAAAAGAAGCGTGACATTCCGATTTCCCCCACAAAGGGAGTAAGATGGGACCTCCTTTATTTTTTTTTCCCCATAAAAATGGGCCAAACTTCCATTTTCTCTCAGAAGTGGGATGGAATTTCTCTTTCCCAGTAAAGTTGTATGGCTCCTCCCACCCAAGAGTGGCTAGATATTTTTTACTCCTCATCAGTGGAGGAAACCCCGCTAATTTCTGAATAATGAGAGCTAGTGCTAGAAAAGGGTGAGTCATGTCACATGAGGGTAACTCCTGAGGTTGTCCCCCCACCCCTATCTCTCTCTCTCTCTCTTCCAGGCCACCAGCCCCAGCCCAGTCATCTCCCCAGGTGGGTGCCCGAAGACGGTCCGGGCAGCCACACAGGTGTGACCAGGCGAATGGCCTGCTCTGTGCAGGACTTTTTGGGCAAGACTTCCTGTTCCGCCTCCTGTCCTACTGTGACTCAAGGCCGGACTCTGAAAGTGGGTCTTCCTGTCTCCCTCTCTCACCTGAGAAGACTCTGCCTGTATTTGTGCAACAAAGGAGGTGGGACTTCCGGGCTTGGGGAGACTCCCGAGGATTTAACAGTGTGGTTGCAAACCACCAAGCAGGCAAGATGTGGGGGCTGTGTGGCAAAGGGGGGGGG